TTAGAGACGATGTCCGCCAAAGGGGGGGGTCCGCGAAATCGAGCATCTCCAGGCGAAGTTCAAGCGTGCGGACTATCGTGGATCGGACGTTCGCTTGACGACCGGCGCGCTTCTCGTCGGGTGCCGCCAAGACGTGCTGTACCCAGTTTGTTGCTGGGAGGTGTCCACTGAGCAAAGCTACGGGTGGAAGGCGCCACAGCACGTCAACGCCTTTGAATTCATGGCATTCCTGAGTCACGTGCGGGGCCAGGCTGGGAGAAAGAGCTCCCACAAGCGCCGGTTCTGCCACATCTTCGAAAATCGGGTCGTCAGATGCGCCGTGGCGAAAGGACGGTCTTCGCCACGCTTGCTGCGTCCGTCGGTAACGCCGGCGAGCCGCGGCCTTCTCCATCGTTTCGAACACCTACGCGGTCACCTTCTGGACGGCCTCGGCCTGGAACCACAGCGACGCCGCCAGCAGGCGGCTACTGGGCGAAGATGAAAAGCGAAAGAGAGCGGCCGTCCACGGCCGCCAAGAAGAAGATGCACATCATGTTCGAGGGGATACATCCGAAAACTGACTGAAGTTATCAACAAAGCCTGGCCCTTCTTCGAATTCATCTCTCTGCATGAACGGCCGAGGCCAGAAACCTTGGACGAGTTAGACGAGGAGGTGGGGGAATACGTCAAGCACTTCTAGTTGGACTGCTACCCGCAGGGTTCGGGAACCGACCTCGTAAGCGCCTTGAAGCGGCACTTCCCGAAATGCGGGAGAAACTTCGGCATTGCGAGCTTGCTCAAGAACTGAGCACTGGTCACCGAGAGGCGCCGCGCAATTCCCACAAGCAGGGACTTCGCGATTGGCAAGGCGGCGGCGGCATTGCTTGAGCGCAAGGTGAGATTTGCCTTTGGGATCCTAGTCTCCTCGTTGACCTCCTGCGAATCGGGAAGATCCGCGGCGCGACGGGCCGACAGCTCGCGATCCTCAGTGGCGGTTCGCTTTTGACGCTGGCGCTCCCGGACAGCAAAGGCGCCAAGCGCACTGGCGCCACCGAGCAGGCGACCACCGAGTCGAACGAGAGCGTTTTACGACAACTGACGCACGCGGCCTTCGCGAAGGAGTTTGCAGGCTTGGCCGCCTGTTCGGCCATGCGTTCGTCGAGGCTCACCCCGCACTGCCTGCGGCGGGGCGGGGGCACGTGGCCTTTCACGAAACACGCCAGCTGTGACGTCACCGTCGACCTCGACCTCGGCAGGTGGGCCCGGGTCCGCACCGCGAAGTTGCAGATCGATCAGGCGACCGCGGAGACGACGAAGTTGCTTCTCCCGGCGGAGGGGGTGCGGCGTCTCGATGTGGCCGTGAAGGTCATCGACGAGTTTGTGGCGCCAACGGCCGAGGGATTCCGAGCCGATTTTGTTCCCACCCGCCCACGTCTCGCGAGCTGGGGAGAGGTGGGTTGTGCGTGCGGTGCTGGGGCTGTTCTTGTGTTTGGGGCGCGAGTGGCAGGCACGTGCTGGCCCTTGCCCTCGCACGCGCCGCGCGCGACGCGGAAGATGGAGAGGGAAGTTCGGCGACAGTGCGGCGCAGCTTTCCCAGGTACAGTGTGGCCCCATATATGATTAAGCCCCACGGTGAGTGACATGTTCACTCATCGCGGGCGCGTGGTGCAGGATCAAAGGGTAAGCACCCCGTGCGCTCGTGAACGCGGGAAGCCTAGTATGGTGACGGTCTGGCTTCTTGAAGCCTGTCCAGGTCCAAGTTTCCTGAAGATTTGAGCGCATCACCTTTTGAGGTGTTTTTCTGCCTTCTGAGGCCCGCAGCCAGGCATCGGGGGACATGTTCTCCCTTTTGTCCGCCTTCGTGAGGGCGTGCTGGCAGCTATGGCCTGCGCCCGCGCGCTTCCAAGCGCGCTCTACCGCATCGCTCTGGAAGCGCTCGCGAGAGGAGCCAGAGAAACAGCACACGCAGACAATGATTTGGTATTGATCCTGCTGGGTAAGACGGAAGCGCCTGTTCAGGGCTGCCGAGCGACCGAAGGCGAGGAATCAGATTCGCAGCTGCGCACAGTTGGCGAAGAAATGTCCAGATGGGAGGACGAGGGTGCGAGCTGGAAGGTGGTGGTTCCAGTGGGAGGCCAACAGGATGGAGGGAGAACGAGGAGGAGGAGGAGGAGGAGGAGGAGCAAGGATGAGCGAGGAGGAGCGAGGAGGAGGACGAGGAGGAGGAGGAGGAGGAGGAGGAGCGAGGAGGAGGAGGAGGAGGTCCAGGGAGAACGAGGAGGGAAGGAGGAAAGGGCCACAGCGAGGAGCGGCAGCCGGCGCCTCGGGCGCAACCTCGGTGCCCACGCCAAGCTGCGCGTCGGGGGGGGGTGAGGAGGAGGGGCTCGCCACGTGCCTCGGCACATGCGCACGGCGTACACGCTGTTCACTTCTAATTCTTCGAAAGTTCTTTGGTTTTGTTGGCGCGGCCAGGACCCTTGCATTTCTAATCGTTCTATCCTGGGCCTCTTCCTGGCCATTAGGGAGCCAGGAACGATTAGAAACGAGCACAATTAGAAATGAGCACGGTTAGAAATGAACGACGTGTAGTCTGGCTTCCCACCTCCGCGCTGCCCATGACGTCGGCGGCCTTCTCGCCCCGTGCCTTGGCCGGTCACTCCTCTTCGTTGTCCAGTACTTGCCCGGGGGCGCCAGCGGCGAGTCGCCGGCCGTTCCCAGGGAGTTTGGCGTGGGAATTCCGCACAAAGTGGCAAGATGGGTGACGCATCGCGTCCGAGTGGTGTTCGGCCCATTGCGCCACAGTGTTTGGGTCGTGGGTCAGAGGTTTGGGTGCCTCTCGGGGTCTCTTGGGGTGTCTCTCGGGGCCTTTTGGACGCATTTTCGGGGCCGTGGCGGAGTCTTAGAGCCTTCTGGGGACCTCCAGGGGCCTGTTGAGGGCCTGCTGGCGGTCTCGAGGACCACCTTTGGGAGAAAGCATCGACATGTTTGTTTGGGTTCCCCTCCGTAGGGCGTTCTTGAGGGCCCCTTGAGCCCGCTTGGGGAACCCCTTGGTACATCTTTGGGCACTGTTGGGCCGTCTTGGGGCCGTCTTGGCCAGTTGGATGTCCGAAAAGGCGATAACGCCCAAATCCGTTCAAAAGCTTGCGGGAATTAAGTGTTGTTTTCCTCTTGGAGATCTTTTTGGGGGGTCCTCTTGGGGCCTTGTCCAGCCGTCTTGGGAGCCTTTGGGCACTCTTGAGGCCTTCTCGGGCCGTCTTGGAGCGTTCGTGGCCCGTACCTAGGCTTCTTGGACCGTCGTGGCGCCATCTCGGGACGTCTTGGAGCGGTCTTTTCCGTCTCGAGCCGTGTCCAGGCGCCGGATCCGCCGCAGCCGTGAGAGACCGCCAGAAGAGTAGCGCCCCATTGGAGGGATTTCCGGGAGTTTTTTGACTAGGCATTGGTCGATTGCACCGAACATTCGACAAAGTCGTCGCGCTCAGCCCACACCCACACCGCAGAAGGGAGCGGCCGGATCTGAAGGGCTGCGCCCTCTGCCGTTGGGCCCCCAGGCTGAGCCGTCCTATGGCTATGTCGCGATAGGCTGGGAGCATTAGTAGACCATCCTGGGGCATCTTTGGGCCTCTCGGGCCACCTTTGGAACAGATTGGGTAATCTTCGGGCTATCTTGGGATCTCTGGGACACAACTTGGGGCCTTGTTAGGCCATCCTAGGCGATCTTGGCGGGATCTTGAGACACTTTGGGGCATTGGACAATATCGGGGGCTCTAGTGACCGTCCCGAAGCGGCCTTGGAGCATCCTAGGAGCAAGACGTGGGACAGGCAAAAAGCATCTAAACAGCGATGGTCTCCCAATGCCCATTGTTCTCTCGGGCGCGTCTTGTAGCCTTGCTGGGCCATCTTGGAGGCATCGTGGGGCAATCTTCGGACGTCTTGTGTTCTTGAGAGCTCTCGGCAGGGCAGCTTGGAGCCATCTTGGAGACCTCTTGGGCTCCCTTGGGCCGCCTGGTAGCATCCCCGTCGGAGTCCTGGGGCACGAGGCTCACAGCTCCAGGTGTTTCGTTGGCTGTCGCCGCGCCCTTGCCCTGCTCCCTGGCACACACGGCAGCAAGGAGGTAGGACTCGAGAGACCAGGCAAGAAGTCAAAGACGGAAGGGAGAGCACAGGGAAGCAGCCCAGCAGCACGCCTCCCAGCCGAGCGCCCGCAAGAGCCGGCGCATCCACACCTGCCGGCGCCCAGGGCGTCGCGTGTCTCTCACAAGCGTTGTTCGTGGTCCGAGCGTCTTTCCCCCCTGTTGTGCCTCCCTCTGCGGCCCTCCGCCGCTCCCTGCTGCACAGGTGCGCGCTCCACGTGCCCGCGCCGCGCTCTGGTGCGGGAGCGTTGTGCCCCACGTCGCTGCGGCAGCCTCGACTCGGCGCGCTCTCCTCCGCTCGTCAGGAGGCTTGCCGAGTCCTCCACCTCCCGTCGCCAGCGGCGAGCCCCCGTGGGGAAGTGAGAGGGAGCAGGCCCTCTCGGAAAGAGGCGAGGCTCCTCAGAAGCCCTCCGGTCTTCTCTGTGGTTTCGGAGAGGCTCTGCAAAGGATTCGCACCAGGCGCGAGGGCTTCCAAGAAGCCCCGCCGCCCTCTGAGGAGGACTGCCCCCTCTCACCCCCTCCACCCTGCGAGATGCGGGGCGGGCACGATGCTCCAGATCTCGCAGCCCCCGCCTCCGCGGCGAGCCTCTTGTGACCTGCCTCTTGCGGGCCTCTGCCCACCTTGGACTCTCGGGTAGTCCCACCGCAAGTCGGGCCTGAGGCTGTGGAATCCGCCAGCCACGATGACCGCTTGATTCTCCATCGGTCAATACGTCTGGCTGATTGATCTGGAGCTCGTTCCTGTGCTGCGGGCCCACCGTAGCAGCATCGCCAGGGCAGATTGGTGCCGTACGCCTCGGTCTCCGCCATGTCTTTGCCCGCTTGCATGACAGGTGAGAAGGGAAGCGTTGCGGCCCGAGGGGGGAGCATTGCGCGTGCTTGGGAGCCGAGGAGCAGACGCGAACGGCAACGGCAAGAAGGGCTGGATGGGATGCGGCCTACGGCTGAGGTGTTTCAGGCGTTAAGGTAGTTGTGTGTCCCACCAGTGCGTGATATCGAAGAAGAAAAGACTACCCGTCGGCCGTTGAAAGCAGGTATCCTGGGATACCCGAGTCCCAACATACTTTGGACGCCTTCCTACTTCAAGAGTGGAGTGGTCTGCCCTCTTCCCTCGTCCTCGGGGGACGGGCGGAAGCACAGTCTGCTTCCAACGCCTTCCTACTTCATGTGTCTACCCACTTCTTCCGACCGACGGGTACATGAACACAGAACTTTCCGGGGTCCGCGCGGGTTTCCGGGATCGGCGCCCTCGAGAGCCGTCGAGAAGCGGCGCGAGGGATGGCGCCTCGCCGAGATCGTTCCGGGATTGCCCGAATCGTCCCGAACGGCCGCTGGAGAGCCGAGCTATGATTCGAAGGCCGAGTGGCCATTCGCCGGAGCGGCCTTTGGGCGCAGAGTCAGCCGAGCCTACGTCGCGCGGTCTGGTCACACGGCCGCTCGGCAGACCTCGAGGGCCTTCGGTTCGTCTCGGACCCGGCGGTCTGTGCCCGCCCCAACCCCTGCCCCAAATTTCTCATCGGTGACGCCTTGGATCGAAGCTGCGGTCGTGGCTACAGTCGGGGCCCTGAAGAAGGAACCCTTTTCGTTGGGGAGGGGCTCCGCGTTCCTTAAGTGTTTCACAGCTTTCCTCAGGCTTTCCTTCTGTTTTAGACAGGAAGTCGAAGGTTAACTTATGGAAAAAAGGGGCCTCGTTCCTTATTTAAGGTTCCTTAGGTCAGCGCCCCGACTGTACGGGAGGGCTGCTGCGGCGCGAATGGGGCACCCGGGCGGCGAGGAGGGACGGGAGGGAAGAGAGCCGCAGGCGGCCCGCAGCGCCCCCCCCCGGAGCGTGAAGCACTCCGGAGCGGTGCCTCCCCGGAGGCCCCGCCCCGCACACGTCCGCGTCCCCCGCGGGGTGATCCCGCGCGGGGGGGGCGCCGCAGAGAGGGCCTCGTCGCCTTCCGGGGGTCGGCGGGGCTGGCCATCCACGCCCTGGGCGAGGAAAGAAGCCGGCGGAGGCAGAACGGTGGCGGGGCTCGCCGGCAGAGGCCGAGGAGGAGGAGGAGGGGGAGGAGGAGGAGGAGGAGGAGGAGGAGGAGGAGGAGGAGGAGGAGGAGGAGGAGGAGGAGGGAGGAGGAGGAGGAGGAGAGGAGGAGGAGGAGGAGGAGGAGGAGGAGGAGGAGGAGGAGGAGGAGGAGGAGGAGGAGGAGGAGGAGGAGGAGGAGGAGGGAGGAGGAGGAGGAGGAGGAGGAGGAGGAGGAGGAGGGAGGAGGAGGAGGAGGAGGAGGAGGGAGGAGGAGAGGAGGAGGAGGAGGAGGAGGAGGAGGAGGAGGAGGAGGAGGAGGAGGAGGAGGAGGAGGAGGAGGAGGAGGTGGAGGGGGAGGAGAAGGACGTCTTGCCAAGAGGTGCGAGTCATGCCGGGTTCGGGGTGCCAAAAGCGGGCCAAGAGTGGCATCAGCAGGCATGAAGGTCCGCTCCCCTCGGTCATAGCCAGGGCGCGAGGTGAGGGGACCCGGTGAGTGGTAGGGCCCCGGGGCCCTGGAATTGGCCAGAATCATTAAACCAGGTCTGCCATAGCCGGTGCTTTCCGGGCGACGGCAGTTCCGGTCAGTGGAACGGGGTGGGGGGGCCTCCCCCAGTTCACATCATTGAACCAGGTTCCACTAAACCCAGTTCTGCCAACGCCCGATCCCCCTCCGTCACCCTTGCGTCGCTGGAAACTCGTGGGCGTGCACTTCCAAATCACTGCGTGAAACTTGCAGCGCCTGTCTGTGTCGACAGCAGAGGTGATCTCTACCTTCATGCGATGGTGTTTCCTATATTGATCAGGCGCTGCGGTCCATAAGCATAGCGAGTGCTATTTCATGTGCTCATGCGATTCGCTCGACTGGCCTGTAAGACGTTCTGGGTTCGATCGAGAATCGGTCTGAAAATGTAGTGCGTATGCACTCGTGCACTCAGCTCTATATCGAGATCTTGCGTATGCATGCGTGCACTTAGCTCCAGATCGAGAATCGGTCTGAAAATATAGTAGTCTCTCCCTGTTTACGTAGGCTTTGCGAGTCCAGACCCGTGGGGCCCAAATGGGTTTCACATGGCCGTTTCCTGGCGAGCGCTTGCTTTTTCCCACCATATCGCTGCTAACATGTGAACGACGTCGAGCACGGGGTCCAGTGCGCGAACATTCGCGCGCAAGGTGCCTGCGTGAGGTCGTGCGCGCTTGAGCGCATTGACTCCCCGACGCGGTGTGCTGCATCAGCGGCCTGCGTAGACCGACGCGCAAGGTCGCCGCATCCTCATGACGAGACTTGTTAGAGGCGTCCCTGACACGAGGTGTCCCCAGGAGGTCCAAGGAGGCCCCCACGGCCTCGGGGCCCCCCACCACGAGGCCCAGAGGGCCCCAGATCCTCCAAAAATGGCGCGAGAAGCGGGGGACACCTCGGGCCAGTGACACCTTTGGCAACGCCCTCAGAGGCGACGATAGGGGCGAATAGCCCCGGGGAGAGCAATACATGTGTTCAGGTGCGCCGATGATCTATGCCTTCGAAAAGGCTCGGGCGAAGGGAACTATGCACATGCACCGATCCTGGCAAGGCCCATTCTTGACCCAGGATCGGTGCATATACCTTCCTAGCCAAGGTAGGAGGGCGTATGCACCGATCCTGGGCTCAGGGTGGGCCTGGCCAGAATCGGTGTATGTGCATAGTTACGTTTCCTCTAAGGGGCTCTCGGGCGAATGCGTGCAATGCCCGCCCCTGGGCTCTTCGCCCCTCAATCGTCGCCGCCGACGCCCGAGCCTGCGCAGGGCCCTGTTCTCTTCGCCGCCCGTGTGTGTGTTCAGTGCCCGTGCATGCCCGCCAAAGAACCCGTGCGGACACCTCTGCGGCCACGAGGCCGCGCCCGCCGCGCAAAAAGGGCCGCCGCTGAGCTCGCGCCACCGGTCCGTCGCACGCTCCGGCCTGCAGCGCGCAGCCTTCGCCGGCCTCCTCGGATCGGGAGGGGATGCGTCATGGAGGGCAGGGGAGGTTTCGGATGCAGCGCCTGGGAGGTCAGGTTCTGGTTTCGCCCCGGTCCGAAATCCGGCTCCATCCCGCCTCATCCCGCTACATCCCGCTGAATCCGGGGCTTAACCCCGTTTGATCCGGCCTAATCCCACTTCATCCGGCTTAATCCGGCTCAATCCGAGGCCCATTCCGGCGTAACAGCCCCCTAGTGGGGCTTCATCCTCATTAACCCTTCCGACGAAGACTTCCCTGTAGCGGCTTCATCCTCTTTTCATCCTTCCGACGAAAACTTCCCAGTAGTTGCCTCCTAAGGGAAGGGGGGGAGAAGAGCACGAGAGGCAGGAGGAGCAGGGGGTCGCGCCTGCTCGAGGTCCCAGGCCTTCCACCAACTGGGCCAGCTCCCCGTGCCTCTGTCCTGCGGTTTCGGCGATCCGCCCTGGAAGGGGGGGAGGGAGAGGAAGGAGGAAGAGTAAGGGAGGGGAGGAGGAGGAGGAGGAGGAGAGAAGCGTCGGGGGCGGGGGAGGGGAGGGAGGAGGAGGAGGAGGAGGAGGAGAGGAAGAGGAGGAGGAGGAGGAGGAGGAGGAGGAGAGGAGAAGGAGGAGGAGGAGGAGGAGGAGGAGGAACAGGGCAGATAGAGAATGGGGAGGAGGGAAGGAGAAGGGAGAGGAGGCGGAGCCCGTGGTGTCGGAAGATAGACCCCTCAAGGGGAGATCATCGGACGTTATCCTGGCACACGGCGGCTTGAACAAGACGGAGGAGGAGGAGGAGGAGGAGGACGACGACGACTACGAGAACAACGACGACGACAACGACAGGGAAGGCGGGGGGGGCAGGGGGAAGAGGGACAGAAGGGAGAGGGGACGAGGGAGGTGGGGAGGACGAGGAGATGGGAGGAGGGAGAGGAGGGGAAGGAGGGGGAGGGGGGAGAGAGGACGAGGGAGAGAAGAGGAAGAGGGCAGGACAGGTGCGCTCGCACCAGGTCTGACTGTAGCCCCGTCCCGCACCCGCTCCTTCCCACTGCGCTGCATCATGCTCCTCCTCCTCCTCCTCTTCCTCCTCCTCCTCCCTCCTCCTCCTCCTCCTCCTCCTCCGCCTCCTCCTCCTCCTCCTCCTCCTCTGGAGGCGCTGGACCCACTCTTTCCCACTGCTCTGCCCGCCGACCAGCATGTCCTCTATGGAATCTCCACCCCCGGAAGAGAAGGAGCGCGCAGGAGGAGCGCCCCCTCGCCTCCTACCCTCCGCCGGCCCCTGGCTCGGGAGCCGCTTCGTGGCCCCCCCTGGCTCGCGGCGGCGACCCCGACCGCCCCGGCGCCTGGAGCTGCCCCGGGCTCGGCATCGCTCGGACGTGTGCCTCTGTCCCTTCGGCGAGGGCCATCGAGGAGCGTCCCTGATCACGTGGCGAAAAAGCCGCGCACGAAATCGCAAAAAGCGAGCGCAGGGCATGGACGTCCGAGCGACGGCGAGCGGGCGCGCGCGCCCCCCGGACGCCTTCCCTCGAGGCCTCCGCGCGGGCGCCCTGGCGAGCGCGCGGCCCGGAGGCCTCGGCGCGCCTCCCTCGCCTCGAGGGCGGCCAGGAAGCACCCGGGCGGGGGCCCTCAGGGGCAGCCCTCCCCCGAGGGCCAGCGAGCCCAGACCTCCGACGTCCCAGACATCGGGCGTCTCGAGAGAATCGAGGCGGAGGTTTTTCGTAGGTGTCGCCCTCTCGGGGCCCTCGCTGGGCCTCGGGACTGTCAAAAACGACGCGGGATGAAAAATTGGTCCCGGGGAAGTGGTCGGGAGGTCGGGGGCCCATGTCTCGAAAAAATCGAGACGTCGGGTGTCTGGGGTCGTAGTTTTTTTCGCAGCGTCGACCCCCAGAGGTCCGGACCCCTTCCCTGGGACCGGTGTCTCATCCTGAGTCGTTTTTTAGCGGTCCCGTGGCCCGGGAAGGGCCCCGGGAGGGCGAAAATATTACACACACACACACACACACATATATATATATATATATATATACACACCACAAATTAACCACACCAAAAAAAC